TTCAAACTGAACTATTGGAGACTTCCACAATCTAGCAATAGTGATTCATGTCGCTTTGAATATAAATGTTATCAATCTCTTTGTGGGTTTCAGGGCTCCCTTTACTGTATGGCCCAATAGTGCTTGTCATGGGGATTTGGTGAAGTTAACGCCAGTAAGAGAGTTAATAAAATTATAAGTGCGGATCCAAAATCTTTTGACTTTTGGCCATGTCCATCAGACATGGTAGGCTTAACCTTCCTGACAGAAACCTCTGAAGCAGAGAAGGGAGGCACTCTGGACCCACAAGGCTATTCTAACCTAGTATTTTACCATAGATACACTTTAATGATTGCAGTGTTGCACTAATTTATATCTTTTATATCTAAGTTTTTTTAGCATTAAGTTACAGAATACACAACTTTCCACATAATAATGTAGCACTCCTACTCTCAGGGTGCTTAGGGATGACCCCCAAGATAGTGTGGCAGGCTAGAATTTAACTCTTAGGGCAGAATCCCAGGCTTATGGCGAGATAAAATAAAGTTTGTATGACTGGCCTTTAAATCTTTTTTTTTATATAGTTATATTTACAAAGTAAGTTCTTGAGGGCATAAAATATTCAAAAATGAACAAAATCACTCAGTTCTTCTAGTAGCAGTTAATACTGTTTTTGGCCCTCTAAGAACATCCAAGCAAATTGCAATGATCCTATGAGAGCAATCATGATTTGTGGTTAAAGTTCTAAAGATCAAGAGATCCTCCTTTCTCTAAGTAGATTCTATTCCCTTTGATCCTAATCGAGCAGTCACAGGAAACCTGAATTTGAAGTAATACGATCTTGTTGCATTGTCCACTGACAGCAGCTTCTCCCAAGTTTTCCAGGACACTGCAGCACAGCAAACTTCTCTAAATATGCAGGCAGTCAGCCTCCTGCTTTTGAATGTACCCTTCAGCAGGACAATTAAAACTCCCTAGGCTTTAGCATAGGCCCTTGCCTGGGGTCAGGTCAGAAGTAAACAACTCTTCTCACTGTGGCATCCACAACAGACAGAAACAGGGGCGGACTGACAACTCATGGGGCCCCCGGGCAATAGGGGATCATGGGGCCCCTGTGTTCTTGACCAAACTCAAAAAAGCCTAAGAAAAAGGTACCATTGGCATCTCATGCAGCCCCCTACTGATCCCGGGCCCTCGGGCAGTGCCCGAGTTTCCAAATGGTCAGTCCGCCCCTGGACAGAAGCCTAGGAGGAAAGACACTTTTGGAAGGTTTGCACAAAATATTTATTACCTTTCTTTAGGTCACACCACTGGATCAAAACCCTCAATGACTGGCTTGGGCAATAAAAGATTTATAACTCATAGATTGTTACTTCTACAATGTATACTCTAACTATAGGAGAAAACGCAACTGTAGCAGGCAGGAATAATCAATGTCATGAGCTTAGGAGAAACCTAGCAAACACTGAAAATGGTTACAAAAAGGCTGATTGCAGCTAACTGCAAAAAAAAAAAAAACAACACTGGAGGGGCTCCCAGGTACCAGGGGGGACTGACCATTTGGAAATTTGGGCCCGGGGTCAGTAGGGGGCTCCATGAGATGCCCCTGGTACTTTTTTCATAGGCTTTTTTGAGTTTGGGCAAGGACACAGGGGCCCCATGATCCCCTATTGCCCGGGGGCCCCATGAGTTGTCAGTTCACCCCTGCAAGCTACAGATCGATGGCTTCTCTATTGGGATCTATAGAGAAAACTTGTACATGTGCAACATTCTGTGGTCCGTGCCAGTTCAGGAACATGATTGTAAAAAAGGTTTAGACCATGGTGAGTGAAAGGGTTTGCTGGCTGAGCTGTAGTCTGTAGAAGGGGGCATGAGTGGGTGAGGAGGAGTAGGTTGGAAAAAACATTTTAAAAAGTAAAGTTACCCTTTCAGCACAAAATCAGAGATGTTTTCACAATTCCAACTTCCAGGAAATTTTCAGGAGAAAAATAATGTATGGTACTCATAAAACTAGTAAAGTGCTGAACATCTGGGAAAACAAAGACGGGGAACACACTGGAAAAACTCTGGGTAACAAAGTCAAAAGAACAATACACTGCACTTACTCATTGTATTGCCTTAGATACGGCCACATATGCCAGTGGAGATCCCTTTGTGACTGCCTTCGCACAGTAGTTTGATGGTGTGGTATTCCACATGGGCAGCACTAATGTCCTTGGAAGCTGACTCTACCAGGGGACTATGTGAGATAATGAGTTTCAATTGAGAAGTGTTCCAGGCAGGAGGAGAAGTAGAACCGCAGCAAAAGTATGAAAATGAAACTTTCATGGAACCGGCTACAATAAAGCAGACCTTCACTCTCTAAATCAGCATTGACTATTGCAGTGTTTTTCAACCTTTTTTGTGCAAAGGCACACTTTTTTCATGAAAAAAATCACGAGGCACACCACCATTAGAAAATGTTAAAAAAAATTACCTCTGTGCCTATATTGACTATATATAAAGTAATTCTCTTGAATAGTAATCAAACACAAAGAAATTATTTTTATAATTATTTCATCCCCCCATATAGTATTTCATCCCTCATACAGTAATTCATCCCTCATATAGTAATTCATCCCCCATATAGTATTTCATCCCTCATATAGTATTTCATCCCCCCATATAGTATTTCATCCCTCATATAGTAATTCATCCCCCCATATAGTATTTCATCCCCCCATATAGTATTTCATCCCCCCATATAGTATTTCATCCCTCATATAGTAATTCATCCCTGATATAGTAATTCATCCCCCATATAGTATTTCATCCCCCCATATAGTATTTCATCCCTCATAAAGTAATTCATCCCTCATATAGTATTTCATCCCCCACAGTACTATTCCCCCCCCCCCTTCTAGTAAGCCAAGTCCCCCGTGTCAATTCACTTACCTTTTGCGTTCCTCTCGCTGTCTTCCCGCGCCGTTCGGGTCTTCAGGGCGGACTGTGAGAGGAGCCTAGCTCCCCTCCCCTCACGTTCGGCACGCTGCCCCGCCTACACACATCCTGACAGCCACATCCGCAAGCCGGATTAAAAGGTCCGCGCGGACTTTTGGGGCTGCCAACCGAGAGGAGGCAGGGGAGCGGCCGACCGAGAGGAGGGAGGGGAGCAGGCGCCCGGCACACAGAAGAGCCGCATTAGACTGGGTAAAGAGCCGCATGTGGCTCGCGAGCCGCGGCTTGCCGACCACTGAATCATTAGATTCTAATGATTGGTCTATTTGTGAGCCGAAGCCACATGTTACAGATGAAATTGGAATTTTTCCCACGGCACACCAGACAATATCTCACGGCACACTAGTGTGCCGCGGCACAGTGGTTGAAAAACGCTGGACTATTGAACCTTATACTACTAGCATTAGTAAATAGATAAGAAATTATATAATATATACCTGTTTTAAACTTTTTTTTTAATATTTGCATCACTTCCTAGTTTCCAGGCCTAAGCCAAAATTAAGTTACATCCCAAGAGTCTCTAGGAGAGGAGGAGAGGTGTTCTCAACTAAGCACACGCTCCTGCTTACATGCCTATGGTAAGGGCAGATGGATTCCAGGAAGTAAATACTACATGAAGCATCTGCCTTACTCAAGATGGCCATGGCCAGAAATGCTACGGGGTGTTTTTCAAAGTGATTTCTCTGAAAAGTAAACCATGGAGACATGGATGGATGGGGGAGTTTGCTTTGAATATTAAAAATAAATTAAATAGCGTTTTTGGTTTGTGGTGTTCAGATACAGTGTAGTTCTGCTTTAAAGGATAATTTCACCTTATGTAACATGTTACATGTTACACCCATATTGAGGGTGTAACATGTTGAGAAAGGACAGGCCCTTGCTTCCCCCCCCCCCGATCCCCCATTGTGACAGCTAGCTGTCACAATTTTTTAAAAACGTGGCCGTGCAGGGGTCTGCCCGAATGGCCGCATCACTCATTCACAGTATTCTGTGAATGGGAAAACTACAAGTTCTCACAGCCTTTGTGGCTATTGGCTTGTAGTTCTCAATGAACTGCCATGGCACTGTTGAGCACTGTGGAAGTTCATTGATTCTTCCTGTCAGAGTGTATCTGTTTGCCCCTCCAAGGTACGAGCACAAAGATACACTAACAGGTCTGCAGGCATCCTGATCACTGGTGCAATGTTTCTCCCAAAATAAAAAAATAGTAAGTGCAGAATTTTTTACCAACAAAAAATGTGCATTTATTATTTTTCTTTAGCATCTTCACACCAGCGCCTCCTGGCCCTTTAAGGGGTTTCAGACGCCGGGAGGTGGGGCGGGGTTTTAGGGTCATGTGACTGCCGTGATTTGCTGTCACGGTGGTCACATGATCAGAAAAGGTCCTGATCGCAAGGGGAGATAGGGACCTTTCCGTGAGACAACAACATATGTGCTGGGAGCGCGCAGGGCACACACTCCCAGCATATATGTGTTTTCAAATGGTACGCAAATATGCGGCAGCTCTGCGTCAAGGCCCAGCCACTGGAAGATCGCATATTTGCATATGGTTGGCGTCAAGAGGTTAAAAGTGAACTTGCTCTTTAAGGGCCAAATCACAGTTTTGTGTTGTAGTAATATTGTTGGTGCAATGTGGTCCCATTCATTTTAAATGACATCCCAGCACACCTGCACTGTAGCAAAGAGCAACACATGGTAGTGCTTTGCCATACATTACAAAAAAAAGGGTCATGTCCAAAAGTGGATATGCTGGGTATTTTGGCAGCCAATTCTAAAAAAAAGGGGTCTGTCTTAATACAATGGATAGTAAGCTCCCTATGTTACTATGACACTGCACAAATGTTACTTTTTGGTTACTGAATACTGAACAAATTTAACAGTGGATCATAAAATGCTTCCTATAGCAGTTGCCAATATATTTTTTTCTCTTGTTGTGCTGCAATAAAAAAATTCTGAATACTTCTTACCAAACCTGGGGCTTTGGGAAAGGTCAGCTAACCATCATTGTATTTTTGTTTTTATAGGTGTAACAGTGTATTCCGTAGGTGTAGCTTGGGCACCTCTCGACGACCTGAAGGACATGGCATCTGAACCCAAAAACTCCCACACCTTCTTCAGCAGAGAATTCCCAGGCCTGGAGCAAATTGTTCCTAGCATAATCCGTGGAATCTGCAGAGATTACCTGGATTCACAGAAGTGAGGTCATCTGACAAAATATCCCCCAAGAGAGCACTGGCAAAGATGCAGTTTATAGATACTGGAGAAAATGGGGGGAAAGAAAGCAAACAAGCAATATGCAGTACCTATAGACTACAGAAACGCACTGCATTTTCTTCTTTGCTAAATGTGTAGAATATAATCTTTATTTTCATCCACTTTTCTGTTTTTTTTAAGAACATTGACACAGTCTTGTTCTACGTAAGGGAATATACAATCACAGGGAGCTCAGAATGTGTTCAATCCTATTTCCCTTAATGGCAAGTAAAATTCCAAATTCAGATAGCTCCTGCTACAGTATGCTTTAATAATTGACATCATTCATCCAATAGGTCCTCCAAAAGCTAATGATCTGTACCATTAAAGCTTGAATAAAAACTTAGCAAGTGCATTTCTATTTTTTGGGGGGTTTCTCCATCATACAATTCTATTAAAAACGAAACCTTTTTGCAGAGCACAGGATTGTGGATGACCCTGCAGATGGTCCCACATTTTAAAGCGGAGTTCCACCTTTTTTTAATGTCCCTCTGTTAATACAGTTCCTGTGGTGTCCTTCACGATTAGGATAATCATATATTGTTTTGAATTTTCCAAATACCTGTAAATAAAGTGCAAAGATGGCACTTCCAGTCCTGGCCACCTAGGCGATGACATATGTAGGCGATTTGCAATGTCTCCTGGGACGTCAGGTCCTGTATCCCAGGAGTCCTTTGGATCCCTAGTTGCTGACTATCGCATTAACTCAAAACCGGACATGATGCGAATGGGAGGAGTTTGGCGCCATTTTACCGGAGTCCTATCTGTGGGGAGGAAGTGCAACAGCTATGCTGCGGACTAAATGTTTTCACTAAATCAAATTGTTAAATTAGTGTTGCGGGGCTTGCTCTTTTGGCAGACTGTAGTTGCCTTCCCCTGTGCTGTTTTTATGGACAGGTTGCCATAATGGGGTGGGAACTTCCACCGTCCCCACCATTGTTATGGCAACCTGTTGTATACAAATTGCGCCGAGCAGTATCATTACTGCGCAGGTGCAAGATTGAGAAGTGCATGTTGGGATAGCCTACTCCCGGAAATATAGACCTGCGGGCTTCAGATACCCACATCCATCATGGCGCCTGCCTGCTTCCGAGATCAAGGTAAACTACTACTTATTTACAACTAATAAGCAGGATATCACAAATAACTTTATTCACTTATTCATTTGAAAGATTAGACAGGGTCAGCTTTTAAAAAAAAATGTTATGGGGACTGGAGCTCCGCTTTAAGAACTGTAATGTTTTAGAGCAGCATACTTAAAGATGCCCATTAGGTGGCCAAATTGCACAAGTAAAGCTTCAAAAAAGTAAGATTACATTTTTACAACAGAGTTTAGTAACCTTGACAGATGAGCTACAAATTACCTTCATAATTAAGATAACAGACAAGAAAAGGTAAAATAATGTTTGTAATACAACTGATATTTTGGTAAGGTTAACATCCAGTAATAACTCATGTGATTGTTGATTTGTTTGTACAGAGTTGCTTTTCATTGTCATTCTCATAATTACATCAGTATCTACATATATTGTTCTACTGTTTATGGGAAGCTGTACCTGTATAGTACATCAATGTGTGTGTATATATATTTATATATTTGATAACTGAAGATTGATGTATCAGACCAAAGCACACAATTTTACATCAAATAAATGCCTTGGCTTTAACATCCGATGTACTTCTTTAAAAATTGATATATGAGGACTTTTGTTAAAATGAAGCATATATGAAAGGTATTCAAACCAGACATTACATACCAGCCTCTGTGACCAAGCCCCCGAAGGGCAGGGCGAAATGCGTCAGAGTCTAGCCAGAGTGATGGTTGAGGCCAGCTAGAGCTTACATCGCTTTCCATTGGCTCCTGGGGATCGGTAGAGCGGCGCCCACCCCTCTTTATGTTCAGTATGTCTCTGATATGACTCGGTACGCTCCCCTCTCTCTGCTGGCGGGGTGATTATACATTCTGTCCAGCTTAGAGGGGTGCCACAAGCTTGCTACAAGGTCTATAACATCAAATTTTAAAAGTAAAGATCGTGGCTAAAAACAGATGTCACAAAATAACTGCTGTAATATGAAAGTAGAATTCCAGGATTCACATAACTTTCATTAAATAGTTCCTTTGGGTCAAGCTGGCCTAAATTAACTATTTACATAACTAAACAATGTGGCTACCCTGCATGCTATGATATACTCTGTGATTGCCAACAAAGGATTTACCACTAAGTACTAAGTCATGTTTTGTGAAGGGGATCAAATACTTACTTCCCTCATGAACATGCAAATCAGTGCGGAATTTGTTAGACATGCATTTCTTTTTAATTTTTGTTGCTATTCTATCTCTCAGTGTGACAATACACCTACCATTTGATTTTTATCTTTCAATAGTTTTATTGAAAAATTAGTATACACAGAAATAGAAACATTGCCCACCTACATGGTGAGTTTGGGTGAATAAATATATTCATAAAAAATATAGGCACGTGAGAAAGCATTAGTCGATGATGTTGTAAACAGGAAACACCATCCACACAGGGTAGCAAATGTTCCATCAGTCAGTAAACATAGGCAGTTTTTCATATAGATATTTACCAACAATAAGAAAACCAAAAAAAAGATTAAAAATAGAAGAATCGAAAGGAAAGATCCAGGATAAGTCAGAAAAGAAGGGGGGAGGAGGAGAGAGAAAAGAAAAAAAAAAAGGGGGGAAAGAAAAGGAAAAAAGGGAGTGAGGGTCAGCCGTAGTTCTATTAAGTAATAGAGATATATCTGATCCATGGTTCCCACATTACCTCAAATTTAGAAGTATCATTATTGACAATGTTCGAAAGTTTATCATTTATCATTATCCAATTAAGTTTTTGTTTAACCTCGTCTAGCGCAATTAATGATTGTCTCCAACATCTAGCTATGGTAATATGTGCCGCTAGTAAGAGGTAAAGAATTATTTTAGTAAATTTTTTGGGAATGTCAGCGGGCAGCAAATGAAATAAAGCTACTTCCGGTGATCTACGCATATTAATTCCTGTTTACCGAGTAAATGAAGTTAAACATTCGGATCCAAAATCTATTCACTACCGGACATTTCCACTAGATATGGAGCATAGTGCCCTCTTGTCTGCAGTGTCAAAAGCAATTAAGTGATACTGATGGATACATTTTAGCAAGGCGTGTAGGATCTAAATACCAGCAAAGTAGTGTTTTGTAATTGGATTCGATAAGAGCAGTATTAATCGAAATCTTTGATAGAGTATGGGCCGTATTCCACCAAAGGTCTAGATCTAGTGAGCTATTCAAATCCCTTTCCCATTGAGTCATATAAGATAATTTAGTGAGTGGATTGACAAGGGAAGCATAGATAATGGACAAACGGCCTTTCAGCATCCCAATAGCCCCACAGGAGATCTCTAGAGGAGTGAGTGTGCAAGGTTCTACGAGTAATTTGAGTTTACTAGTGATAAAAGAGGTTGATGGTAGCGGAACAATTCACTGGAGGGGATCTGATATTTGTCAAAAAGCATTGGAGAGAACAAGGACAAAGTCCATCCAGGAAGTCTCCATTACGCAGTAAACCCTTATTCATCCACCATTGAAATGCAGATGGTGATAAGCCAGGAATAAACTCGGGGTTACAAAAAACTGGAGCTAATGGGGTATGTGGAGAGCAGAGAGGTTTGCGTGCCCACCATCTATCCCACACCGTTAACGAATAAGACAACGTAGGACATAGGATAGGAGGACGCAATCGACTAGGGAGCCACATAAGAGCGCCAATAGCGTAAGGATGGCAAGATAAGGCCGTGACGCCAACCCATTGAGGAACCATTCAATTTTTAGACTGATCATTTCTTTGTGAGTGGGCAAACATTCAAAACCAGCAGGGGATCGAATACTTATTTCCTTCACTGTATAGAGGTGCACACACCAGACCAAAAAGAGGGACAACTAAGACTACATGAGGGACAGGCCCTCCAAAATGAGGGACATTTGGGAGCTTTAATGTTTGTAATGGTTGATGTGTTCAATCAAAAGGGTGGATGTTGGCTGGTTGAATCAGCCACTAGGTTCTTGATGACTCTTGAAGATCTTCCAGCTGAGCTCCTGCCTTTGCTCCCCCTAACAAACAAATGAACAAATTTGTGAAAACACCTTGTAATATCTGCAGCAGGTGGTTTGATCTGGGAAAAAAACATATCTGGATCTGAAAAATACCTGGGAGTGGTTGAATCCATCTTTTCTGCCTAACATTTACATTTTTAAATGTGGAGGAATAGACTGTCCACACCTGCATCTACGTTTTAGGAGACAAGTGAAACTTTAAGGGAATAGGAACTCCAGATTCATCAAAATTTACCAAATGTGGCATACATATAAACCAATACATTTTCCTGACTATTCAGAACCAAATTAATTACAGGCACTGTGTGTAGATTGCAACTGATAAATCAATGCAAGAGCTGTGCATCAATCTCTCTACACACAGAACCCACTAAGCCCTAAAACATAGCTTTTATTCATACGCAGCTAACAATAATGTATGTTGCCAAACATTTTAACATCATAAACCTGCAGGTGGATGCAGGGAATACAAATTCTGTTAGGGGTATTCAAACTGAGTTTTCCATAAAGAGAAATATTCCCTTACTTATGTCCAAATACTGGTCATATTAATGAGTGCTTCCAATACCAGACTATTTTTCAGTGTTACCTTGCATTCCCTGCATCCACCTGCAGGTTTTTATGATTTTATCATTTTGTCAACATTATTTTTAACTGTGTATGAATAAAAGTCATGTTTTAGGGCTTAGTGGGTTCTGTCCAAAAAGATTGGTGCACAGCTCTCGTATTGATTTATCAAAAGTGACATACAGGTGAAGAGTGCTGTAGGGATTGTAAGGGATTTCCGGCAAGAAGAATCGCGATCGGGAACGCGCATTCGCGAAAGAGATC